CAGTGCGTACTTCAACAGTCCTCCGGATGAAAGATGGTGGACGAAGGAGCGACGCAGGATGTCTTCAGCTTGAAGTGACTCCTGTTGCATGATGTAGAGTAGGCTAGAGTAGGTGCTGAGTAGGATAGGCATGGCGCTGAGCAGCAATCAAGAAGGGCGACATGAGATACTATGCTGGTGCGCGAGTGAGGGCCGGCATTGTAATTGGAGTTCATTGTATTGCTCTTACTTGGCTTGTATTTCTAGGTGTTGTGCTTTCTGCTTGGTACACGATTATCTGGTCTACAGCGTGATAATGCAATTTGGTTTTCTGTCTATCGCTCTCACTCATTTTCCTTGGAATTTGGTATCGGAGCTAGTTCAGATATCGCCATACTGGCGCTGGTGTCTTGGTTATTTGGCGCGCTGACGGAACTTCTCTGCAGTTAGGATACTTTGACGCTGGCTGATTGAGTCCCTCCCCGATAAAGGGGAGCGGGACTGGAAGGCTGTGGTGACGGATGGAAGGCTGTGGCGACAATAGATGTATGTGGAGTGATGAGGGCATGCTGACGTGGCACTGCATTTGCATTGTGTGTGGTGCCGAGGCTGTGATCGGTCATCAAAATGAACGCCGGCTCAATTGGCGAGACATCTGTGGTTGGGGGCAGCTATCTCCAGGTATGTTGTTCCTTACCTTATCTTCCCATCTCAATGTCTTCTTACCGTGAGGAAGAGAGTTTGTCTTGAGTATGTTGTTCCTTACCTTATCTTCCCATCTCAATGTCTTCTTACTGTGAAGAAGAGAGTTCGTCTTGAGAGTCCTCTTCTGGTTCAGGAGTCCTGAGCGCTCTACCTTGAGAGTTGACATTCTTCCTGGCGGCGCATCTGGTGGAAGAGGGTGGTGCCTCTGAAGGGCCCTGGGCGAGCACGGCTCTCGGTCACCATGCTAACCCCAAGGCGTGGAGCACGCATGCTTTGCTGAGCTCTTGCTGCGCATAGAGGTGTGTTCGGAAGGACAGCCTTTGGGGCATCGACGTGCACCAGAGCGTCATCAAAGATACTCCGGCGGGGAAACCGGCTCGCGTCGTATGCGAGGATAAAAATGGTACAGACAAGGCTGTCTTGCTCTTCATTACCTGGGCACAGGCGCGGGCCGTTGTGCACACCATCGACACCACTGCTCTGTTGATGCAATCAGGACATCGGATACAGGGGAGGTCTGTTGGGAAGGACAGCCTTCTGGGGCATCGACGTGCACGAGACCGTCATCAAAGATACTCTGGCGGGGAAACCGGCTTGCGTCGTATGCGAGGATAAAAATGGTACAGACAAGACTGTCTTGCTCTTCATTACCTGGGCACAGATGTGGGCCGTTCTGCACACCATCGACACCGCTGCTCTGTTGATGCAATCAGGACATCAGATACAGGGGAGGGAAGGTTCAAATTGGTGCTCGATTATTATCATGACTACGGCTGGACGTCCGGATCGGGATCCAGACGGTCTGGGTCTGGATGTCTGTGTCCGGTGTCTGGTTCAGTAGGTCCGGATTGCCACCCCACAGACCATTTTTTTTTTTTTTTAAAGGGGGTCACCCAGGACGTCTTCCGCATCCTATGCGCCCGTAAAAAATATTACTGGGACTTTTCGGCCATGTTTGACCCTACCGGACAAGCCCAGACCATGTCCAGAAAGTAAGTGTGAACATTGTGTGTGTGTGTGTGTTTGTGTGTTGATTCTCTCAGGCCTGCTGGGATGCATCCAAGTGATTTTTCAAGTCCAATGCATTCAATATAAGTGTCCATCGTGCTGTACTGTTACATGCCCAGTTGGGCGATGTACCTATATAGCCAAGGATCCACAATGTGATGAAAAGGACTGAATGGACAATGCATTGCTAGTAGAATCTCAACAAGCAGTGTACATCCTGATACATACAAAAATGGTGCTTTGTAGCGCAGTGGAAGACTTAGATATAAGTCCTGACCTGACCGGGACTGACCTCTCTTACGTAGTACAAGACAGCGCAGCAGAATGCTAGAATACCAATGACTAGCCCAATCAATGTCGCAATGCAGACCAAACATACATCATCCTCATCACAAGGTGTGACGGGGGCCTGGCACTACACACAGGAAGAATGTGCCAGGTCCAGACCATACACAGACGAGGAAGAGGGGGGAGATGGGAATGTCGTTAACACCAAGTCTTCGGTAAAGTCCCAGATAATCCCTCGTCAAATGTCTGAAGCCCAATGTCGAGTCTGGATCCAAATGTCACTAAGCCCGCTCTCTCGTAGTCTGCTGATGCAGTGAGGTCAGGTAGCGAGAGGGTGAGAGGGAGATGGTGGACTGAGAAGAAGAAGAAGAGGAACTCTCTCTCTCTCTCTCTCTCTCTCTCTCTCTCTCTCTCTCTCTCTCTCTCTCTCTCTCTCTCTCTCTCTCTCACGTGCCAGGCACTAACCTGTGAAGATGGTGCTGTGCTGCAGGTACCTCGAAGACGAAGCTGGAGCTATGGCGCTGCAGGTAAGTCTCCCTGGCCTCCGCCCAATCTCTCTCTCTCTCTCTCTCCAGTACTACTCTAGCTCCTACTAGCGCCCAGCGCTGAAGACTACTGCTAACGCTACTACTACTACTGCAGCGCTCCTCCAGCGTGCTGCTGCCGAATCCTGAAGACTACCTCCTGCCTCCTGAACTGCACGTGGAGTGCCTGGGAAGTCCCTATGAACTGCAGCCTGCAGGGCGGGCCAGTCTTATATCGTGCTGGCCCGTCCAGGAGGCTGCTCTTGCCAAATGTCAAAACGTGCCAGACCCTGGCGTTGAAGCTCAAATAAGGGTTGTCTTGAAAACAGGCCCAAAATGGCCTGTGCTAAAACCCTGGTCTGGTGCCTGAGTTTCAGGGCAGGTCGATCTTATGAGGGCCTGAAAATGGCCCTCCGTTTCAGGCTGAAAAGACTCAGGGCCTGGACGGCCCTGTTTTAGGCTGAAACGGCACAGGGCCTGTAGGCCCTTGTTGTCAGGCTTTCAGGCTGAAACGACACAGGGCCTGTAGGCCCTTGTTTTCAGGCTTTCAGGCTGAACGACACAGGGCCTGAAAATGGCCCTTGTTGTAGGTGCAGCATGTTGCAGGCGCAGCATGTAACATGTACACAACCGGTAGTTCTGACACACTGACAGGAATCGTGGCTCGTATTCATTCAAGGACACAAGGAGGCCGTAGCGAGGTTCACGGGAAGTACAAACCCTCAGCAAGACTGTATTGAACCTGAATCTTTTCTTGTATACATTCAGGGACGCATATGGCCGTTAGTTTGGAAGGGCGCTTTCACAAAACTCGGAACAGGACTCGCTATTACGAGAAAAAAAAAAAAAAAAGGAACTTCTGATGGATCAGCACGACTGAATAGGACCTGAATCAAATGACAAACAGAAGCAACAAAGCAAAGGCCACACCCGACCCGGATTCTGAAAAACAAAGAAACACACTGCATGTTGCCGGGTCCCACCAGCCACCCCAGGTCTTGCATGAGGCCCAACCGCCTGCCTCGGGTCTTGCATGAGCCCCCACCAGCCACCCCGGGTCTTACGTAAGCCCCCCCCTGCGGATCCGGGTCTTGCATGAGCCCCCACCAGCCGAATCGGGTCTTGCATGGGGCCTGTTACGCGAGACCCGGGTTAGTTTTTAAACCACCAGTACACCCGGGCCTTGAGGCGCCTTACACCGCGCCAAGCCTTTCCGAACCGCCAGCGACAAACTGTTTTTCGTTTTTGGCTGGCGCCGCCAGCCATTGTGGTCCGGTTGGCCACGCCATTGCTACAGTTTGGTGGGGACAAGTTGCCTTTCTGCAAAGCTGGGGGCCGTGTACTGCAGCTTAATCTAATAAGATGGAGATAAGACAATGGATGATTAATTGTTCCGGCATCCATCTGTTTTACATTAGCAAACTATCACACAAGCATTCTATCTTCCCAGGTTCGCACACTCAGTAAGGTACACAGCTGACTTGCTGTCATATTTCATCGTTCATCACCATCACCTTCGGTGTTTGCACTTGCAACCAAAATAGATGCACATCGCGATAGAGATGGCTGCAGCAGATGCGTCGCCATTTGCACACCCTATGAAGGAGGCAAGCCAAGGGCAAAAAAAAAAGGGTTCTACTCAGCAAGGAAGACAAAGAAGAAGAAGCAGAACCGAACTGAATTGAATATAGCGAGGCCAATGACCACGTGTCCATCCATAAACAGATTGCCAACATCAATCCTGCGGGAGAAAGAGACGTCCTCCATTGTTGGCGGTCCATCCCACAAGCCTCAAAGGATCTATCTGGGGGAAGAAGCAGGGGGTTGGGCTAAGAGACCCCTTTTCCGACAAACAGGGTATGAACGGAGGATGCAGATGATGACAGTGTAAAGCTAACACACCACATTCAAAGCAACACTGCCATGACAGGTTACAGTCAAGGACGAGCCAAAAGAAGGTTCTGCTGCGGCTGGCAGAGACCGTGCATGCCATGAAAACAACCAGAAAACATTCTAGAGATTCAGTAGAGAACATTCAGGACAGATGTCATGATAAGTTACAGCCAAGGACGAACCAAAAGAAGGTTCATCACAGGAGCTCGATCATACATTCATCATGTGCCATGTGCAAAACCATGAACAATCACCGTGCACACATGCCTGCAATCCCACACACACACACACACACACACACACACACACACACACACACACACAGAGAGAGAGAGAGAGAGAGAGAGAGAGAGAGAAATTCTGACCACAGCGCTTCATGTTCTACAGCAGGAGGGGGGTTGTGTCACACTGTCCATCGTGCAGAGCAGGGTGTCATCAGCAAGCAGAAAGTCATCAATGTGGTCGCATCAATATGTATATACGTACATGTACAAACACATCTGTTGACACAAGTTGAGGTTCATCTTGTATCAATGAATAGGTTCACACAAGTTGCGGTCAATCTTGTAGGTGGGATATCGCTTGCATCTCTTCCTTCAAGACTAGTGCATCAATGAACACATCGAGAGACTCTCCCGCCATCAGCCGTTCGATATCATACTGAGTTATCCCAACGCGGTGGTCTGTGATTCTACCCTGAGGGAAATTATATGTCCGAATGCGCTCAGATCGATCTCCGCTCCCGATCTGTGCCAATCTTGATTGCGAACGAGCGGTGCTTTGCCGTTGTCGTTCCTGGTCATACAGGCGTGCCCTCAACACTTTGAGCGCTTTTGCCTTGTTCTTGTGCTGGGATCTCTCATCTTGAATTGCGACCACAGTTCCCGTCGGGATATGTGTGATTCGGACCGCGCTGTTCGTGGTGTTAACATGCTGTCCACCTGCACCACCACTTCTGTACGTGTCTATACGCAAGTCCTCCTCTCTCACCTGCACATCCACCTCATCTGCTTGCGGCAGGACTACCACCGATGCCGCACTCGTGTGCACTCGGCCACTGGTTTCCGTCACTGGTACCCTCTGAACCCTATGCACCCCACTTTCAAATTTCAGCCTACCAAAGACCCCTGCCCCAGAGATGGAAGCACTTGCTTCCTTGCACCCCCGAAGGTCAGTTGCCATGATATCCATCACTTCAAAGGTCCAGTTATTGATTTCTGACAAGCGCTCGTACATGCGGAAGATCTCCATGGCAAATAGAGATGCCTCCTCCCCGCCTGTTCCAGCTCTCACTTCCAAGATACACCCTTTGCTGTCCATTTCATCTCTGGGAAGGATCATTCTGAGTACCGTGGCCTCCAGTTCTTCCACCTCTTTTCCTACCGTCTTCAGTTCCTCCGCAGCCCACTCCTGGACTTCCCCCTCTTCGTTCGGATCTCCAGCAAGGGAACGCAAATCGCTCATATCTTGTCGCTTCGCTCTGAGCTCTCGTATCACCTCAACACGTTGCGTGAGCTGGCTCAACTCCTTGTTGATTTTGCCCAGCTCGTCGGGGGCCATCATCACATCCTCGCTCACCCGCCGCTGTAGCTCCCCGTGGCGATCCTCTATGGCTGTCATCCTCTTCTGGAGCACAGCGGCCAGTTCCTTGGGAACCACCAGCTTAGCACCTCCTCCTGCTGATGCACTTGTGCCGAACGCCTTGCATCGATGATGGAGCAGCGAATCAGACTTCCTCCTCGGAGTAGTCTCAACACCCTGCCTTCCGTGACCGTGATCATAACCGTGAACTGCCATTGGCCGTTCCCCTTGGCAGGGCAATCGCCCCATTGTTGTTTGAAGTCTCCATCCCACCCCAACTCTCCCCCTGTGGCTCTCAAAACCCTCCTTACAAGTTCGGCTTTTGTGACTGGAGAAGCGGGAGAGGAGGGCTCGATTCCTGCACTCAGCAAGCAAACTTCCTCTATAGAGGCAACGAGGCCCTGCTTCTGATCTGTCTCCTGCTGCTGCCACTGCTGGCAGTATTGGATCCGAAAGCGCAAAATTCTCACTTGTCACTGCGTCATAATCGCCGTCCATAGCGGGCCTCCCTATCCCAGAACAATGATTGTGCACTTCAAGCTTGCTGGCCTTCCTAACGCTCACCCCCCCAATAGCCTTTCTTACGAGATTAGAGGGCGCATTTCCTCCTACTCCTCCTTCAGCCACTTGGTAACGCCATTGCGGTCCCTTGATGAACCCAATGGTCCAGTAGTTCCCCCATGAGCAGCATTGGCGGCTACTAGTACTACCTGCTGTGCTCCTCTCGATCAATCGCAAGACTCCCCTCATTGGACAAGTTCTGGGTAAGTTTTTCTCATTCACGCTCGGAAAAATGGATTACTAAAAAACTCGATTAATATGCTAATCAGAAAACTGGCTTTAGAACAGACAAAAAAGGGAGAAAGAAAAAGCAAAAAAGGGCTGCAAGCGTAGCCCTGGCGGGTAGACTTGTTTTTTTCTATCTAGTTCCGAATTATTTTACTCGTTGCTACAAAGGGAATCCTTGTTGGTTTATTCTCCTCCACTTAGTTATGCGCTTAAATCGGACAAGTGTCCCCGTCCGACCAGAGATCAACAGTCTGGGCTATTCCCGGTTCGCTCACAGCTACCAGGGAACTCCTGGTCGGCTACGCATATTATTCCGCTGGGACTCGAACTCAGGTCTGCTTATCAACAGTGATGCACTGCCAAGGGAATCCTTGTTGGTTACTCATCTGATGTCACTGGGACGCGAACTTAGCCCTGCTTATCAACAGTGAAAGGGTGTAGCACTCAGCCCCTTTCAGCCCGATTCATGAAGCCACCAAGAACACAGAAAAAGAAAAGCCAGAAGAAAAAACACCACTCTACCAAGAATGGACCGCCAAGCCTTCTGCAGACCTCTCTACCTCTCGTGACTGTGAACTCGCTGTCCGTGCGGAGAGTCCCACTACCTTAGCAGCAGCTCGACCGAGTAGTCTTCAACGGTGGGGCGTGTGTCTTAGACTGTTCACTGGACGAGATAAGAGAAAGAGGAAAAGAAGTGGCATGTGTCAGTCTCACCTCATGGACCTCCCGATATGTTTCGCTATGTGTGCGTGTGTGTGTGGATGCGAATACTGAATCCAATGCAAAATTTCCTGGTATTTATTGATTACTGAAAATGAGTGATCCAATAGTTTTATGCAGCATCCTTTTCTTCCATTTCGCTTCACGAATCAATCGATGTACCAGCATGACATCATTCAATCAATCAATCAATCAACAGCCCGCCCCTTCTGTCCCCCTGACCCACTCCTCAGGTTGCGACACCACTCCAGCTGCTCAGGCATCTGGCCCTCAGGATGGGACGACCACTCCAGCTGTCAAGGGCACTGCTCATGATGGGACATCTCGCGAACGGCTGCCGCGCCTGGATGATGGCCGCGTGATAGGGCATGCTCGGCGGCCGGAGGGCCGTAACACATCACATTGGGTCCGTCGGAACTGTTTGGAAGAGCCTCCGCCGGGTATACTGCACGCGCCCCCACGGGGCCGACATGGTGACCATAATGATAGTGCTGTGGAGGACCGGCGCCGCCCCGCCCGTTATCAATAGCAGCCACCCCCAGACATGGATGCTCACGGGGAGCAGCAGGACTCGTTTCAGGCTGTGGATCGATTGACAGAGGGAGTAGGGGATTGGTTGGACCAAGGGGATGGCCATCACGAAAGTAACCAGTCGGCCGGACCTGTAGTGGGACAGCAGCAGGATAGTGTTGACTGTGCTGACGTGCCAGGACAAATCCATGGTAGGGCGAAGGAGGAGGAGGATATGCAGCAGAGAGAGGGCAAGCAGCAAGGGCATCAAGGAGGGGGGGCTCGCGCCAAGTTGTCCCAGCAAAGGGACGATTGTGCTCATCAGCGTAGTCAGGATCTGCACAGCATGGCCAGCCATAACGAAGGAACGCAGGTGTGCCCAGTAGTGGTATCCTCGGACTCCAGCAGGCCTTCCACTCCGCGCCATGAGCCGCCACCGCATCACCTGCCGACAATGGATGAGGATGCCTCTCAGGACTAGCCAAATGCTAGCTGTCCTTATCTTCCTTCTCCTCGTACGGATGGTGGGGGCCATGTGCCACCGCACCACCTAAAAGGCTATCCCTAGCTGGAGTGGCTGCCCGGATTAGGGCCATGAGCCCATTTCTTGATATCTTCCCACTGCGGGGGCTAACGCCCCCCCATCACCGACAAGCTGCGCCTGCAGAGTCATATCCACAAACGAAGACTACCACCTCCGACGAAGATGCCTCCCATACCTCTTCTTCGCCTCCACAATGGAGACCTTACACCGGTGAATATCAGATTTCGGTCGGAAAGTTCGGAAACAATATAAATTCACCAACTTAAGTAACCCGAGTGTGAGTCAACGCAGACTGCTTGGTGAGGACACTCGGATGGAGGATCATCCCAGTGAGCAGCAGGCACAGGAAGATCGTCACCATGATGCAATGGAGATGGACCAGCCCCATCACACTCAGGAGGAGGGACAGCAGGACCAGGAGGGCCAGGTGCAATGCAGCGCGAACCTGCCAATTGGGATAGTCAAATGGATGACCAGCCGGGTCAACAGCAGGGCCACGAAGGCAGTCAGCCGGACAAAGGGAAAAACCCTCAAGAGGATTAGGGGCGTGGATCAGCCGCAGGAAGGTGAAGGGGTCGAGCACGCAGACGAGGGAGGATGTGGTGATAGAGATCGCAGAACAAGGCGGGCTAGACCAGGCCGGCCCCATCGAAGAAGGAAGAAGGCTCCTCTGGTTGCACTACCTAGGGAACGGTTACATGGGGAAGGGCCATCGCGCAGACCAGGGAGCAACACCCTCCTCTACTGAGGCATCTGAATCTACAAAGAACAAGCTCGCACAGTGTTCTATGCCGTGCGGGGAAGCTGCGCCTATGACAACGGAGGAACAGAAGGAACTTGCAGACGAACTTAAACGGAAGCTACTGTAATGACCCACCAAAACACAGACTGAGAACACTGCTGATTTCTGGGATTCGCCACATTCTGCTGCATTTTCTAAGTCCGTGTGTGCGTGTGCCTGCTGGTCTGCATGCCTGTCGGAGTGCTTGTCGGCCTGAGTGTGTGTGTGACCAGCAAGGGTACTTGTTCGTTTGGAGGGCCCGCAGAGCCGGTATTTACCTGTGCCCGCGACTTTGAGGGTTGCAGCGGGAAAAACACTCAAGTAGCAGGTAGGCCGGTACCACTCAAGTATTGTTGAAGTGTCGGGTACTCGTGACCGCGCAGAAGAAGACAAAAAGTTGGCATTTTTTGAGGGCCAGTGGCGGTAGGCTAGAGGTCGCCCGGTACCAGTCCAAGTACCCTGAGTCTAGGGCCTGTACGGATGATAGCAGAGCCTGCAATGAAGTTTCCCTCCGAAAGGGAGGCGGTACCGGTTGCTTGAAGGCCGCGCGGCCTGGAAGTCACCGCTCAAGAGGCGAGTAGACCGTTATATCTCCAGGAGGAGCGAGTAGCTCCTCCTCATTTGCGGTGTGCAAGGTTGGGCGACATAATGCTTGAGCCAAGCGTTGGACTTGGAGCGCTGCCTGGGAGGTCGACGAAGGAGCTGGGCGCTCAGCCTGGCTATGGCGAGCAGCCCAGCCTGAGGAAGAGGAAAAAGGGGGCGAAGGAGGAGAGTGGCGAGGTACCTACCTGGCTATGGTGGACACCATCTTCATCACCTTGATAGGCGCTGCATCTGGAAGGGCCCAGTTGGGGTAGTCCCGCACCAAGGAAGCTCAAGGCAGAGTCAGGCATGGCGGCCTGATGAGCAACAACATAGCTGTTTTGTGTTGTCCTTTGCATAAGAGGGTAGAGCTCTTAGTAGTCCACCATAGCCTTGGCATGTGAGAGGAGGAAGAAGGGGGAAGCCATGGCTATGGTGGACCTATTATTGTGTCGGCAGCAAGAGGGAACTTCGGATATTGATTCTGGTTCAATCACTCGCTGTTATTATTATTATTCGGGAGAAGAATAAGATTGACGAAGACAAGGAGGAGGAGGAAGGTGGAGAGAGAAGGGCGATTTGTCTTTGGTCTTGCTGGTGTTCTTCTTCTTCTTCTTCTTCTTCTTCTCCTTCTCCTTCTTCTTTCTTTCTTCTTCTTTGGTCTCTATCTCTTTGCAAGTGCTTTCATTTCATTCGAAATTGGGTGGCATTGTGAATTTGCACTTCAGAAATGACCAGGATCGTAACACTACACATATATCAGCCTACAGAGTCTGCACAAGTGGCTAGCTCGGACCAAATTGCAGAGCACACCACCAACAAGGAATCAGTGGGCAAGAAAGAGGATGAGTACCTACCTCCACAAGGGAAGCAACGGGTGCAGGAAAGGGATGGTGGGGGGCCCCTGCATGGGTCGGAGGTATGAGAGTGAGCCTTTTGCTCATCGGCGGGGTAAGGACGTGGTCTGCCCAGCACAATGGCCTGATCAGGTTCATCCATTGTACTGTGAGATGGGCCACTCTGACGCCTCAGGTGCGCAAAGGAATGCCTTCTCCGACTCTGAGGCGCAGAAGGGAGAAGACAATGATGGACCAGCCCGAGAGAGGAGTGGACGAACGAGGCGGGAAGGAGTATTATCAGGAGAATCCAGACTGGAGGGGGCGCCTCAGAGTATTGTTAGACCGAGGGTGTCTGCAAAAATAAGTGCTATGCCTTCCCACTGCTGTTCCTGTAGGCAAAGGAGGAGCTGTGCATTTGTGTTTCGGGAGGGCGGCCAATCGGCCTTCAAGGGGAGAATCATGGAGGTACAGTCGGCCAACCAGCCATGGAGGTACAGTCGGCCAAATAGTACCGGCAGGAAGGGTAGAATGGTGAAAGGGTCAGCAGGTTTGGTCTCCTGCGGATGGATCGAGGGGAGGGGTTGCCATTCTCATGGCACCATATTTCGAGGGCGAGATGTTGGACTGGTTCTTTGACATGAAGGGTCGGTGGGCCTGGGTGTTGCTAGAGTACGGGGATCAAAGATACTTGTTAGTCAATGTGTATGCGCCGGTAAAACAGGTTGAAAGGAGGGAGTTCTAGGCTTCGCTGCCCGTGGTGATCTCGGAGGGCTAGCATACCATGGTTGGGATTTCAACACCATTATGCACCCTAGCATGGACTGTTGTGCCCGGATCACAGGAGTCGGACGCCACTACTCTCCAGGCGATCATGGCGCAGTTGGGTATGACCGAACCGTTTAGAACAATGTACCCGGACCGCAGGACATTTACATGGTCAGGCCCGTACCCCGCCTCCCGAAGCCGCCTGGATATGGCCTTGGGCAATGCGGATGTTGCAGCGCAAGTACTGCATGTGGCCACGGTGCCTCTGGTCACGTCGGACGACGCAGCAGTCCGCGTCAAACTATCGAAGGGCTGGATCTCTCCCCCCCCCGCATCAAAGGCCCTCCCCGCTTGGATCTTCTCGAACAGTCGGTACTCGCAGGTGGTTGTGCAGCATTGGCAAGATTAATTGGCCAAAGCCCCGCAAGGGAAACCAGTCCTGGACCATATTATGGAA